TATTTCTTTCTAAAATATAGTTCATACTCAAGCTTCCCAACTATCCCAAAATGTGATTTACATTTGTCCAAATCAGAATCCTATGCAAAAAAATGAACTGCATCTGACTGTTTTATTCATGAGTCTCTTTAAATCTAACACAATCAGGTATGATGATTTCTATTACGATGATTAGAACTTACTTAACTATAAAGCATACTGTAAAGGCCCATGTAAAGGTAATTTTTCCTCATGTAAGTACATGATCTTTAGGAAGTTAGGTGATATCTGATATTGACACTATAACTTTAGAAGAACTGATGATTTAAATAAAGTGAAATTAAGGAGAAAAATAATTTCTGGGGAAAAAAAGAATTCTTTATGTACAATATTCTGCTAGATAATGTACGCATTATTTTTCCATGTTTTCTTAGGGCGAAACATATATTTGAGGGAGAAGCCAATGAAAAATTACAAATTTCCTCAGTATTTTAAAGATGTCAATGAAATTATCAAGATTTTCAAATGAGTCAAAGAGAACAAATATGTTAAAGAAAAAATGTGGTTAAACATCATGTATCAGGGAGATATCTCAAGTGGTTATATATTTTAACACATGGAACAATGAGCATAACTTTCACAATTCTTAACAACAACAAAAAAAGGTAAAAAGAGAACAACCCAGTGAACTAAGTAAAGTTCTTCTATAAAGGCTATTAAGAACTATAGAAGGGGGTCAAGCACTTCTATAGTCTTATCATTCATTAAGAGATAGAAGCAAACAGTGGTTGATTGACCCTTGAAAAAGGAAGCCTTTAGTGACAAACTTTACAGACTGTCACAATAACCCAATGGTGGTGATCCAATCCAGCCACTTCCTAGCCTTTTCCCTTATAGCGATTATTTCTAAAATCAGTAGATTTCATTCTTATTTTATTTAGTCTTCTTTATCTTTTTTAGTATAGTTCTTAGTCTGGCTTTAAGAAATCAATAAATCCCTTGAAACTATATAAAGAATATTGTGTGTCTGGGCATTTTTCTAGTAGGTGAATAGCTTCCAACAGATTCTCAGTGGGGTCCATAAGATTAAAAACCACTGTGACTGATTGGGAGCTAGACTGGCAATCATTCTAGCATATGCTATGATTGATATATAAAACACTGCCAACCCTCAGTTATAATGAGTAAGAGGAATTATTAAATAATATAATTAGCTTTAAAATGTAGTCAGAGATGCATTTTCTAGAAGTGTCTTTCAAATTGCAAATTGTGACCCATTAGAGTCTAGCATTAAACAAAGAACAGAATCAACAATAGAATAGACAATATCACACAGTACACTGCATAAAATACTGTTTCCTAAAACTTTTGTTTCAGCTTTATATATGTGTCTGCTATAATGTGGGTTGTATTGTAAAATATATTTCTTACCATGGGTGATGGCCAACAAAGATTGAAAAATACTGCTCTAATGCCTGCTTATCTCTTGGTTTTTTTGCTTGAAACCTTCTTGATATGCTACTTCTATGGAAATTTGGAACCAAAAGAGTTATGATGATAAAAATAATGATGATATGATGAGCAATATTTACTGAGTATTCACTATGTGCCAGGAAATATGTTTTACTTTTATGATCTTATTTAATTTGTATAATCCAATGAAATATTATTAATCTCCATTTTATAGATGAGAAAACTTAGATTTAGAGAAATAAAATAACTTGATTTAGACCTATGTCTCACTGACTCAGCACCCAAGCTCTCTAAACTGCAAAAAAATAGATCTCCTAGATAATCTAAAAAGCTTGATAATCCATTTAAAGATAAAGATGAATTGAATATTATAATTCTATAAAGGTTCAGAGCCTTGATCCTGTGATGCTACATTGTTCTTGTCACTCACTTATTGTTTTGGTTTTGACTGATTCAGAATATTCTGCAAAAGTAGTTGTTTCTTTCTAGAGATAATTTTCTTTTTAAATTAAAAAAGTTTCTATTCAGGGGTGCCTGGGTGGCTCAGTCTTTAAGCATCTGCCTTCAGCTCAGGTCATGATCCCAGGGTCCTGGGATCAAGCCCCGCATCGGGCTCCCTGCTCAGCAGGAAGCCTGCTTCTCCCTATCCCACTCCTCCTGCTTGTGTTCCCTCTCTCGCTGTGTCTCTCTCTGTCAAATAAATAAATAAAATCTTTAAAAAAAAAAGTTTCTATTCAGATAGCAGACATATTGTATTTTATTAATTCCCAAATTTAAAGATCCCTTTAAATGCTCAATTAGTACAAAATTATAAGCAGCAAAGTACCATGTGAGTAAATCCTATTTACTTCATGGGTTTGTTGTGAGGATGCAACATTTATTAAAAAAAAATTGTAAAAAACACTACAAGTAGCTATCACAAAGTAAATGACAATAAATGTTTAGCTATTATTATCATACAAGAAGACAGGGAAGTCTACACAGTGTTTTGCTTAAATTCTTCCCTGCTTTGTAGTTTGTTCTTGGGGACTTTCCAAAATTTTGCTACTTCACTTTCTATAGTGAGAGGAATTTAAAGTGTTTCTAAAGCAGCATCTGTACAATGAAGTCATTCAGACAGCTCAGTTCAAAATTTAACTGACCACCTAGCAGCTTCATCCCAAGGGTCATAAACACAAATGCTTACCACTCTAAAGATATAACCTCAATGAAAGAGTGGGATGGCTAAAGGTGAGTAGGCATACGTTGTGTGAAAGGGGCACTCTATTTAAAAGTGGAAACCACCATTCAGTGACAAGATTTTATGCCATGCAGGACTGCAGGATCACTATTGCTAGATTTTCAAGAGAAGTCAGAAATGTGGATGTCAACATGAAATTTCCTCATTTTTAAATGTGGCACAAATTTAAACAAAACAAAACAAAACACTGTGGGCAAAACGAAACAAGTGTACAGGCTAACTCTAGCCCACAGCCTACAGTTTGCCACCCAGCTTTACTTTTATGCCATCACTCAGATACCAGGTTGACTGACACAGCCTACGTGAGACTGCTATCAACTATGGCCAGTGGGTAGGGAGAAAATCATAGAACATTTATCTTCTTAAAGTTTAACTCTTCTTTTCCCTTTAGAAGCTTTGGGAACATGTACACTAGCTTTCTCAGAATAGTCTCTTGCTATTCTAAGAAAAAAATTTCACATGAAGTCCTGAGAAACAAGCCTGTGTGGATAAAGGTTTAAAGTTAAGAACAAATATGGGGCGCCTAGGTGGCTTAGTCATCAAGCGTCCGCCTTCGGGTTGGGTCGTGATCCCAGGATCCTGGGATTGAGCCCCACATCGGGCTCCCCGCCTGCTTCTCCCTCTCCCGCTCCCCTTGCTTGTGTTCCCTCTCTTGCTGTCTCTCTCTCTCTCTGTCAAACAAAAATAAAATCTTAAAAAAAAATCTTTAAAGTTAAGAATAATCAAAATATAAACACAAAGAAAAGTGAGTATGTTTATAGGACTTCAGGAGAAAATTTCCACTCATGACTGAAGAAGTAAAAAAGTCTTTCAATACAGATAAGTCTCTTTATTATAGAAATAAATATTTGTATTTGCTTAACTTTTTGATATGACACTATTGTTTCACAACTCCTTTTATGTTTATAGGGGCATGGCAACTTTCATGAGGGCAAGTTTCTCAAGTCAGCCCTTAAGGTGAAAATTTTCGTATAGTCAAAATTACCTTTGTACATCCTTTAAATTGTCATAAGTAAAGGCACATGATTTTGTATATCCCATACCACTTCTCAGTAAGTTCAACACAGTTAATTTTTGCTCCATGATTGGAATAGGTACTGTCTTGTTATGCATGAATGAAGTACAGCTGAAATTCTCAATTGTCAACCATTCAGGCCAGTTAGATGTGAATGACTGTAAAGTGTGATTTTGTAGAGGGGGGAAAACACACCCAAAAAGCTAACCTCTACTAAGTATTAGAATAAGATAATGATTAAAATATCTACATAAGAGAGAGGCACTGGGTCGCTTCCACGCCTAAGAGAACCAGAGATTCAGAGAAAAAATAGTTCTGTGGGTATCTTCGCAAACTACATAGGTACTTACAAATAAAGATACAGTTTAGAAAAATAAAACAACATATTCAGTGTAGGATCTGTAACAGATTAAAAGAGTCTTACAGAAATAGTGCTATTTTATTCAGTAAACCAATACAGAGAAAAAATGCAGTGCTCTCACTAACAATTTCTGGTAACCTGAGTTTTAACACCATTTGTAGGCAAAGAGAGCTAAGGTACTCAACCCTGTTGTAAGAAGGAGCTAAAGATATTTTATTTCTGGCCTACATATAGTCTCTAGTTTCTTTTCTGGGATGTAAATGCAATGACATATAGGTAATAATTTCAATTAGTTTTAATTTTCATTAAAAGTTAATAAACTAGCATGCAATTTATATGTAAATCAGTTCACTGGGACTTAACCATTTGTTTTCACAATTCTAAAGCTAAGGATTAGATATTAAAATCAAGGCAGATGTGTTAAAGGTGAGTTAACACACATCATAAAAAACAGGTATATGTTTACTACATAGTAAAATTATTCATTTTAATGGAGTGCAATCAATCAAGAATTGATGACTACAAACTAGCCCCAGCATTATCTTTAAGCAATCAACAGGCTCAGAGACACTGATAAGTATGTGACTGCCACACTGAATGCACAGTTATGGAAAATGTTTCCTGTAGTTAAATCAACTGGTATAGTAACACTATTATGATAATTGAAAAGAAATTAACCTATACTATAGCCTGGTTCAGGAAATTAGAAGAGAAAACAAACTGGGGAAAAGGATATAGATTGTATTTATCATGACAATATGCTAATTTCAATAACCAGGCAGGTAGGATTGACTTAAAAGCTGTGTCAACTCACTAAAACCAAATGTTGGCTGGTAGCATAAATTGGCTCTCATTGTCAAAAGCTTATCATACAGCTTATAAGACAATCTAGCATTGCAAGATAAGCCACTGCAAGGTGAGCCATGACTTACCTTTATGGACTGGCACTGGTATAGGAACCGGGCTCCTGACACATGAGCTTGTGGGTTGGACTGGAGGCCTATATATGCCCACAATACCTGGATCTCCAGGGAAACTGGTATGACACAATGCATAGCCTGTAGAAGGGTAAAGAAGCATCTGCTTGAATTGCTGATGGTTGCCTAGTCAGTTACCATGCATTAAGTAGCCACTGCTTCTTAAAACATTATATATAACAGAGAAGGTAATATGACTTAGAGAAAGAACACAAAAGTTCACAATAGATCATACTATTGTCTTAGATCTTAAAAAATTAATATTCTAAAATGGAAATGGGAAATGACTAACATAGAGATTAATAAAAATGTGAGCTCACGTACAATGGCTGTAAGAAGTGCTCTATGAGTGGTGCATAGTCAGTGTTGTGGAATGCCAGACGAAACAGCCACTTCTGGTTAAGGATGGCTTCATGGGCCTGGGATGAGTAATATGTGACTAGAAGGAATGGTGATGATAAAGGAAATTCAGGTAGAGAGATGGCCTATAAAAAGGTGTGCAAGTAGAACAGCACATGATGCCACAGAGGGACATTCATTGATTAATCTGAATAACAGTGACTGAGTGTCTTCTATGTGCCAGGTGTGATGGAGGCACTGGCCTTGAGCAGGCCACTTGAGTGAAGCAAAGGATTTGGACACGGAAGCAGTGAAAGGTTAAGGAAGACATTTCAGGATTAGATTATGACATCCAACCAAGCAGTCTGACTCCAGGAGGATTAATTCTAAGAGGTAAGAAGGATTGATGGAAGTGAGTTACTATAACTTAGCACATACAAACTATCCTCAAATATGCCTTGTGCTTTTCCAGCTTCATACCTTTTTGTAGTAAAGCTCAGACACTGGCAATAACATATATAAACTAGGAATGGGGAAGACAGAACATATTTAAGTTTACTTTATTCAGGAATTATCAAACTGTTTTCCAAAGTGGCCGCACCATCTGCAGTCCCATCAACAATGTCTGAGGGTTCCAGTTTCTCCACATCCTTGACAACACTTGTTGGTGTCTATCTTTTTAAGTATAGCCATCCTAGTGGGTGTGAAGTGGTATCTCATTGTGATTTTGCATTTCCTTAATGGCTAACGGTGTTCAGCTTTTCATGTGTTTGTTCCAAATATTTTTAAACATCTTTCTTTTCATTTATTCTACGTTAGGAATACTTTTCTATGTTGACAAATCTTCTTTGAAAATGTGATTTTAAAATATAAATAGTAGGTTAAAGAAAAAGAGAAAGAATAAAGAATAGTTCCAGTATAATCTCAACCTTGCCACTAACCATCCTCTTCCTACTATGCTCAGTCACAATCACCCCAAACCACAATTCCTTTGTAGGGCTATATTGGAGGTTTAAGAGAATTCAATTTGACTTCAGTTGCCCAAAGGCTGGATCAAGTACATGTGTTTACTTATCCCTCCTGTCTTCTTAAGAGGAACAAAGTGTATAAGGAATAAAGTCATAATAGTGCTGACGAAGGGAAAAAGGCACTTCCAAAATAATTGCTAAGGAGAAAGGCTTTTTGAAGTCTGAACCAAAACTCAAAAGTTAAAAAAAAATAAATTGGTATCTTTCACAATATAAAAATCAGTGTCTGCATGGCAAAAAACCAAACCAAACCAAAACAAAACAAAAAACCCAACAGAAACGAAGTCAAAAGACTAATGACAAACTGGGAAAAAGTATCTACAAATCATACCACAGAAGATTTGTATTGATTGTATTTCTCAAGATCCATTTCTCAAATTTGCAAAGATTTCCTATAAGACCAGTAATTCAATAAAAACAAGCAAGGAATATAAATAGATAATAGTGAATAAAATACAAACTGTTCAACCATATATCAAAATATAGTGAGAGAAAAATAAAACTATACTGGGATACTATTTTTCACTTATAAAAAAAGATTAAAGTTTCATAACACAGTGTTGATGAGGGTAAGGGGAAAAAGCAGTCTCACAGATGAATGATGGGACTGGATATTGTATGTATGGGGAATAAATTGACATTATTAAAATTTTAAATGCACATACCTTTGAGCTAGCAATTCTACTTCTAGAAGTTATCATATAGGTTTATTCTCTCATGTACAAAATGGTGCCTGAGCCAGGTTACAAAATGCCACATTGTGTATAATAGCAAAAGACTGAAAACAAACTGAATGTCCACCAAAAACTCTGGCTAAATGAATTCTGGTTCATCCATGTAATGGAATACTATGCAGCTATATTTCCCAAAGAATGAAGAAGCATATTATGTACTGATAAAGAACAAACTCTAAGATCCAGTGAAAAAAGGAAGGTGCAGAGCAGTGTTTATGATATTATACCATTTGGATTAAAAAAAAAGTACAAGAGTATTTACTTGTGTGAGCATGCAGGATCTGTGGAAGGAAAAAAACTAGTAATTTCAGTTGCCTGTGTGGAAGGGAAGAGCTGTCTGAGAGATTTTTATTTTGTACTTTTTGAATTTTGAGCCAAGTGTATACATTACTTATACAGAAAAATAAACAATTGAAAATTAGAAAAGAAAATTAAAGGTATGGCTGACTACAGTGAGGAGATAGGGGGTAGGCAAAAGAGGAAGAAGACAGACTAGCACAGCAGATTTATTTATTTCACCTGGGTTGGAGTCAAGAGATACACCTGTTGGCACTGATCTAGGAGGCCACCAGGAAAAGTAAAAACAGAAACAGCTACGTGCAGTTCCTTCCAGGGCAGGGGTTGTTGAGATTTTTACTTTGCATTTAATACCATTATACATAGTTTGAATTTTTAACCTGTTAATGTATTTTTATTAAATGTAAATACGTAAACTTTTATAATAGAAAGAACATAATTTCAACCTGAAAGAATCTATGTTGACCAAACATTCAAGAGTATGAGAGAATATTTGAAATATATATGAAATAAATACATTTATTTTTCTCTTACTATGAGTAGGTTGATTTTGAACCACAGAACAATCTCTACCTTCAAATTTTTTTTCCAAGTAAGGAAAATAAGTTAGGTATAAACCTAACCTGAAATAATGACTTTAAATGGGCATGATTTCTTGTACTCTTCCTTTTATGATAACTACATTATCTTCCTTCTATGAGAGTCCCATCATCTCTAGAAACAGGGCTGGTTTTAATTCTGATATCCATAATTTACACACAAAACGGGAAGTGAGTTTTTGTGAGAACGTGTATTTCTCTCCTTACTGAAACACTGCAGTTCCTGCTGAGAATCCTTGTCCACTCTCTCTTCTGGGCTGGGACAGCATTACCAAAGATGGCAACATGTTCTGGGCTGGTCTTTCCATGAAGAGTCTCATAAATCTCCTGCTGTAAGTGGCTGCAGTCCACCTTTTTCAGCCTGAAATGAAACACCACGGAGGCTGGAGTCCAATGCTAACGTATTAATCCAAAGTTTAAAAATGATATTATAAAATAAATTAGAGGAAATAATCCTTATTATTAGATGTAGAAGACTGTCAGAAAACTTTCAGCAATATTAACATTACTTAGATTATAAAACTACTCCTAACTAGCGTTGTCATTCAAAATATAAAAGTTGTCATATCGGGGCGCCTGGGTGGCTCAGTTGGTTAAGCGACTGCCTTCGGCTCAGGTCATGATCCTGGAGTCCCGGGATCGAGTCCCATATCGGGCTCCCTGCTCGGCAGGGAGTCTGCTTCTCCCTCTAACCCTCTTCCCTCTCGTGCTCTCTCTCTCATTCTCTCTCTCAAATAAATAAATAAATAAATAAATAAATAAATAAATAATCTTAAAAAAAAAGTTGTCATATCAACATACTCCCTAGAGAGACAAAATTGTGGGAAATGATGTGGAAGCAAAGAGTTACCTGAGCTTGCATCCAGATACTGCATTCACTCCAAATTGTACTTCATATCTCTTAACAGAGCAAATTCCATCACCCTGGCTCTGTAAGAGGGTCATCTGAGGTAGAAAGCAATGGTCAAGGAGAGTATAACAGAATAAAAAGGTGGCAGATTGGAAAATTTATGCTCTTATTGTTTCCTTAACACTATATTTTACCAATGTCACGACATTGTTCAAGTCACAAATACGTTTTTTTCTCTAGTAATTAAAAACCACACAGAGACAGTAACTATTTTCCCAAAAAATGGCTAACCACATAGCAGTATAAAAATGTTTCATTAAAACAAACAGAAATGAGTCACTATCCTTACCTTCATCAGTTTAACACATTTTAAAGCCTTTGGTAGCAACAACTTTGAGAACATAACATATTAATGGTTCAGTAAAGAAAGTCCTGAATACCTAAAAAAAATCAGAGGACCTCAGAATTGGGAAACCCAAAAAATCAGTAGCCACAGCTTTTCTCATTAGGCTGTAACAGGCTACACAGCTCCAGAAAAAGGATACAGAGTGACTTATATCGCCAGTTAGGGCCAAAAGTGGCTTCCCAACAATATAGCCAGGATTCCCACTTCTAGGACCAGTAAGAGAAGCAGCTGTCCTCTGTTGAAAAGCCTGCAGAGAGTGAAGGAAAGTCACCTACAGAGAAAAGCATGCTCTCACATCTTCCACTGGTTGGCTTCATCCCCTTCTTTATGGCAATGCAGTAAGTTAGCTACACCAAACAATCTGGCTCCCTTCCACAGTGGAGCATTTTGTGGAAGTTTCTTGCAAAACTTTCGTGTTTTACTTTTTATTCACTAAAATAGGTGCTGAGTGATCTGAAAATTGAAATTCACTACATGCTACTTCTACCAAGGATTACAACCAAGGATCAACCAACCCTGTTTCTCAAAAATTACCATCAGTTGACGCTATGTTCAGCCTGGCTGAAATGAAAGGAATTTAAACATAATTTAGAAATATCTTTTAATTAACTACAGATGTTCCAGAGATAAACTGAGAGACATGAGACTTGGTTGATCACTTGAGGGCAGAGTGGAGAAGAAACAAGATTCTGCTGGGTTCAAAAAGAAGAAAGAAGTAGAAGAAAGCCAAGAGATGGTGATCAAGATTGGAAAGTCAGATTAAGTGGGAAATGAGTAAAATGCTGTCACATTATATTTTGACATGTTCACAAATACATACAAGTAAAAATTCATTGTAAGTATATAAACTCAAATAATGCAGAAATATAAAGAGTAAAAGTGAAAAACAAACAAAAATCTGCTGAATGCCCAGAAATATGAGAAAAGATAGTTAAAGAATTTCTGTGGGAGGTAGGCTGAGTTTATGATTCAAAGTGACTATTTAAAAAAAGAGTTTGGATTTGAGACTAAAGTCCTGCTTCACTGGGGAGCCAGATAATCTGAGAAAATGTTACTGAATAAACAGCTGAATCTCTGTCATTTGTAGTTAAATTACGAAATACGAAATGTTGAGGCCTCAACTGACAGACTGAACTAGGCCTTCATGTTCTTTTTTTTTTTTTTTTAGGCTGGTTGTGGAACCCTAGGCCTTCATATTCTTAATCTATTTTGCATGTATCACAGAAGCACGGGCACTATTTCTAATCCAGTATTTCCTCCCCTCTCAATCCCCTATAGCAGAAGGGCTCTAACCCTGAAGCGAATGAGAAAGTGTTGTTGGAAGGAAGTGCCTGGCTCGACAGTCAGGTTGGTTTGTCCAAAACTGACAGAGACTTTCTGGATTCCAAAAGTCCCATTGGTCTCTATCTCATAGATGACCTGAAATACAAAAGTAGAATTAATAAAAATTATTTAACGGGCCAATTATACAGAAGATTTTCTGTCTTAATAAGAGTTTTATTATAACTGAATGAGGGTACAGCATAGTGACTAGTTTATTGTGTTTTTGAAAGTTAAGAAAGTAGATCTTAAAAGTTCTCATTGCAAGGAAAAATGGGTAACTGTATGGTGATGAATATCAACTGAACTTACTGTGGTAATCATTTCACTATATATGTGTGTATATATATGTATATATGAAAACATCATGTTGTACACCTAAAACTAGTGATATTATATCTCAATAAAAAAAATAACTGAATGAGGGAGACTACACAAGTAATCTTAAAAATGCCAAACACAAATACCATGAAAAGACAGAATTCATAATCTTATACATGCAAAGAGACCGGATAGAGCTCTTTGGAAGGGTTCATGGGAGAAGTAAGTTTATGGTAAGGATTGAAAGGGAAGAAAAATGAGTTTTGAAGGTGTGCAGAGGACGTGAGTAGAGAGGGAGCATGGAATGGACACCCGGTTTACTTGGCTCTCCCAATGTCTGAGGATGAATGAAGATAATAGCTGGAGATGGAATTCATAAGCAATTAAGGTAACCTTAGATTTCTGAGCAGTCTTTACAATGATGTTTAAGGTAATTCTTCCTTCTGTAGGGTGATCAAAAGGGAGAATGGAGGAAAAGAAGTTTTTCAGATATTGATTTTGTCAACAGAAGAAAATGTGGTAAGAACTGTAATAAACCGCAAGTGGGTAAAGAAAGAGGAGTCAGAAGTAATCGTAATCTTTTGTGCATGAAATACTGGAGGATCGTAGTAATGGAAACTGAAATATGGTAGGGAGGAAGGTGATGGGTTCAATTCTTGACATGTTAAGTTCCATGCACAAAAATTCATGTGGGGCTGGTCTGGTACTTAATGCAAGATGAGGCACCTCTGGTAATGTAGATCAACAAACATCAGTCCAGAATCTGAGGTTAGCGTCCTTACCTGGGAAACCACATTCTGACAAGTGTTTCCAGACAAGAGAGGAGAACGAGCTTGTGAGATAAGGGTTACAGGAACCTGGAACTAGCAAGGGAAAGAAGCAAATCAACTGAAATTGAAAGCAGTATTTTCTCTTCTAGCTACATATTATGCTGAAATGAGTATTTTTTATTTTTGACCACCTTCCTCTTTCCTTCCATTGCCAGCCTACAGCTTAAGATCAAAAATCATTTTAAATCAGCGCTTCTCAAAACATATTTCTCAGAACATTAATTCCACTAGATATAAAATAAAGGTTCTGTGGTCAAATAAATTTTACAAATTTTTGTGTGTTTTTTTTTTTAAGTTTTTATTTCCTTTAAGTAATCTCTACACCCAGTGTGGGGCTTGAATTCACAACCCCAAGATCAAGAGTTGCAAGCTCTACTGAACCAGCAAGGTGCCCCCAAATACATTTTAGAAATATTATATTTGGTATTCCCCTCTTAGAGAGTACCAAGTCCCTTTAGCACGTTAAAGACTCTAAGAAGTCCACTCTAAACATAGTATTTAACTTTACTTAACCCAACGTTTCCCAAACTTATCTAACACCTTATGAATTCGTATTTCACATGATGCTTTTTAATCATATAGAACATACACGGGAAAACAATGTTTTAGATTCACACTTAAGAGTTTGATACATTGGGCACCTAGGTGGCTCAGTTGTTAAGCGTCTGCCTTTGGCTCAGGTCATGATCCCAGGGTCCTGGGATCGAGTCCCACATCGGGCTCCCTGCTCAGCGGGAAGCCTGCTTCTCCCTCTCCCACTCCCCCTACGTGTGTTCCTGCTCTCACTGTCTCTGTCAAATAAATAAATAAAATCTTTAAAAAAAAAAAAAAGAGTTTGATACATCACACATAGATTTCCTTTCACAATTACAGTCTAGGTTGAAATTGCCTCAGATGCAAAGGGACCAAATAGTCTCCTTCCTTTTCCCTGATAAACAGTGTCATACCTTCATATTCTGCAGATCAGTCATACCTTTTGGAACCTAGAAAAAGAGAATAGCAAGAACCGTGAGTGTGCATACACCTGAGAGAAAATCTCCAGGAGCTTGTGGTTTCACGTGTGGGGAGGAAAAATCAACATATTAGAATGATTCTTCTTTTCTACCTGACTCTTCTTTATACTAAAATGCTATGAGTAAAGCTGAGGGGAGGTTGGGCTATGACACACCTACTCTGAGCAGAGCTCTACTGAACAGCAAAAGCAAGAGGTTTTGGTGAAATAGTGAAATGTCATCCCTTGCCACCCTCCTAAGCCAATCCCCATTATCCAGGAGGGTAGAATCTCTTATCCTGGATATAACCCCCAACTCTTTCATCTTTCTTCAGAGGATAGGGTTTCTGGGCCCTCTGTTTTTTATGTAGTTCTTAGCCATTCTGACTTTCAGTTCAGTGCTTTATCTACAACCCAATAGCAGGAAGCATGTGGACATTATATCCACAACAGTGACAGTGGGGAGGAAAGGGATACCACCTTCAAGACTGAGAAGTTATAGTAAGAGGCAGCATTGAGGGCTGGATCCAAGGTGCAGCTACTTGTCAGGTTCTTGAAGAAACGAGCACAGGTTGTACTTTTACTCTCCAGGAAACCTTAGAACACAAAGAATTAAAGGAATGATAAAAGAAAAAGCCTATTTTATTTTTGTGAAAAAAAATTTTTTTTAGTTTTTTTTTAAGCGATTTCTAAGAAAGCTTATTTTATGTTTTTTTAAAAAGATTTTACTTATTGATTTGACAGAGAGAGACATAGCAGGAGAGGGAACACAAGCAGGAGGAGCGGGAGAGGGAGAAGCAGGCTTCCCGTGGAGCAGGGAGCCGGAGGCGGGGCTCCATCCCAGGACCCGGGGATCATGACCTGAACCAAAGGCAGACGCTTAACGACTGAGCCACCCAGGCGCCCCAGAAAGCGCATTTTAAATGGAACAAAAACGCTGGCACTTCTGTTTTGGACTCACCTGCAGGATTGCTCTCAGCACAGAGCCCCCCAGCTCCAACTCCTGCAGGCTGCCTCAGCAAGCTGATTACAGACCACTTGGGGAAGTAAGTCAAAATGGGGTCCCCAGCCTGAACAAAGTATAGTAGAAATTTACTGAAAGTGAGATTGGACTGAACTCCACCAGAAAAGAAAAAGTAGAAACAAAAATTAACTCAAGGGCTTGTGAATGTGCAGAATACTGTCTTCTAAAAGAGCTTGACAATGGTTGACCCAGTTGCAGGGGTCAACTGTCAGCCATGAGGGATACTTAAAGATACCTGGTCAACTGTCAGCCATGAGGGAAAAACCACACCAAACAATCCCATCCCTATCCCCAGGCTCACCCTGTAATGAGGTGGTGGCAACTTGGTTTGGAATGTTGAAGTGAATGATCCACTTCCAAACTCTGTAGCCAGGGCCTCGAAGTGGGTTGCGTTGACCTTTTGGAGCTTCTGGAAATAGTTTAATTTTGCTAAAATGTTTTTTAAAAGATAAGGGGTTTAGATAAAAGAAAAATATTTATTTAAAAATATCTGGCACGAAAGTAACTGCTTTTAAAAAGTATTCTTATTGGGGCATAATACATACACAGCAAAAGTTTGTAAATGCACTCATCTTAAGTGTAAACTCTAAAGAATTTTTACACATTGCTATACTTTTATTCCTACTACTCAGATTAAGTTATAGAACATTTTCCCAGAAGACTCACAATCAATAATACTCCACTTTTAAAGATAATAATTCTGATTTTTATCATCTTCTACTGCATGTATAGTCTGTTAAAAGAACTATTGTTTTATTATTAAGATCTAAGGTAAGAATATGGCCAATGAATACCAGGCAGTTCCAAGTCCCTGATGCCAGGAATGTGAGTGATTAGCAATTTGTGATGAAAACAGGAGTTCAATAATGCTCACATTTGCCCCATACCAGATTAGTCTCTAGCACAATAAAATGGTACTGTTTCTGTTGGAACATGGCAAAGTTGGAGATAACATTAAATTCGTCCTCTCCTTCCTGTTTCTTCTAAACTTCAACTGACCAGTCCTAATAATAATGTTTCCATCTCTCAAGTATATGAATTTGTTATGTTTCCCTCCTTTCACTTCAAATTTCTACATTTAAAATTTCAGACACTCCAAAGAGGTATATTCTGTAATAACTCTATAATTTATATTATAACAATATGGAAATCTATTCAAGTTCCTGCAGCCATCTCCTTACGGCTAACAAGGATGACTGAAATTAAAGTTCTGTATGGGTTTTCTGTTCCACAGCCAAGAGGGCATAAGAAATTGCAAATGTTCACAATAAGAGAGAGGGAACAAGTAGAAAGGTAGAAAAGGGCAGATGATAGAAATTCAACAGACAAAAGAAAAGTTCAAAAACAAAAGTTCAAACACAAAGCCAATTTTCAACAAATGTTAGGTAACAAGAATAGCCAACACATCTCTACTCACAGTTGTTCACATGGACACAAAACTGCCTAATTCCACTTGAATCCATGAAAACTCTTGAAGGAAATGGGGAATTACTCCTGAAGATAAGAGAGTTGTCCACGCACATCCAACTTGAAGACCTGAGAGGAAATAGGAATGAAGAACAGATATATTTAGAAGCGGAGGGTTAGGTCCAAAAAGGTGCTGCATGGATGTCAGTCAATGCCTAAGAGAGGGCTCCTTGGCCAGCCACAGGCCAACACAAAGGTCCTATTCTATTGGACTGCTCTGGTCTAGAGAATTCGAGGAGGAACTTCACTCCTGGGAAAAACCAAGGTAATTCCACTTATAGAAATGGAAGTGGGGGCTTAAGGCAGGAAAGATAACTCTTCCTACTTCCAAGTATGACCTATTCTAGGGTCCCAGTTTTCTTAGGATTCAACCGGCATATGGCAGCTCACCTCACGCTGCCTGGAAGGCAGAAGGAGAAAACCGTCCTCGGATGGAGAAGATAGCAGTCCTTGTCGCAGCAGCAATTTATGTCGCAGGTACCAGGGGTCAAGTCACAGACACAGATCGGTAAGACTATGAAGATAAAGCAGAGCGAACGGGATGAGGATCCCAAACTTCCAAGCGCGAATTCCCCTCTTCCGATAGCCCCACTCCTCACTTTGTGGAAATTCACTTTGCTCACACAATTTTAGATCCAAGTCAGTGGTTTCCAACCCCACATCTCCTCTCCTAACCTGGGAAGAGGTCTACGGTCCCATTCCCAGGTGCAGAGGGGGTCACGACCGTAGGGTCCACCGTAGAGATCCCAGACACAGGCCAGGGAGTTTCAGACCCCTCCGAGGACGACTGAAGGGTCCCGCCCGGCGACCCTGGCCCCACGTCCGAAGGGGTGGGCACATCCCCTGACAGGGAGAAAGAGGGCTGAGGCCAGATGCCCTCGGGGACCATCAGGAAGAACACCTGCAGTAGCGCGAGCTGCGAGGTGCACATGGGGCGAGATAAACACGGGGAAGTCAAGACCCCCACGAGTTCAAAGCCGGTTTCAGCGGTCGCCAGGCGCTTCGCGAGAGGGTGGATGGGAGGAGTCGCATCTCGTCTGACGTCATCCGCATGCATCTGCTCATTGGCTCAAGGCGATGGCTGAGAGCTCTCCAGCCAATAGAAAGCGGCGTTGTTACAGCTTTCCAACAGCTTTTAGTGTGCGCCCTCCTCTTTAGGCCAGGCAGCGCACCGCCTCTGTCGCTTGGTAACGACCAAACTCGCGGAGGAGCTCTTGCTTCTTCTCTCCGCTAGGTGACAGTAGAAGGTCAGCGGAACGAGAGGTGCCTCGAAGTGCCGCGCCGGCGTAGCGGCCCACAGGACGGAGCCCTTCCTCCCAGAGGGAAACCCCAGAGGCTGGAACGAGAATTGCTTCTTTTCCACCCCGGATTCTAAAGGTGAGAAACTCTAAGGAAGGATAATGATCTCGGGAAGGAAAATACACAGAAGGTCATATACACCTAAAACAACAACAAAAAACCTCCCTCTAAATATTGTATTTTTTTGGAAACAGAAAGATTAGGCTTCTTAAATTTTAACGTTGAGAAATATAAAAGAATATAAACCTCAATAAATGCTGCAGTCATTAACTGTGGACTGCAGAGTTGTTATTAGAGAAAATAGAGAAGGGAGTGAGAAATGGGTAGGAAAAAATGTGAGAAGCTAGGGAGAGAGAGTAAGGAAAGGAGAAGACAGATTTTCTAGGGGCTGAAGGGAAAATAAGACGCAGGAATGGAAATAGCCAAGGGATAGAGAAGAAAACTTATCTTTTTGCCATTATAATCGACACTTGTTGTAACCCTTTTCGGGAAGTTTTGGTCTTTCCCAGGAGTGGCGGCGTTTTCTTCTGATTCTCTAGAGCAGCACCGTCCAATAGAACTTCCTTAAGCGTTGGAAACGTTCTCTGTCTACACCCGGTTCAATATGGCAGCCAGGGGCTCTGTGTGGCTACTGCGCCCTGGAAACGTGGCTCCTGTGACTAAGGGGCTGAATTTAAAATTTTTAGGTAATTCAAAGTTGAATAACTACATGTGACTAGCAGCTACCATATTGGACAGTACAACTCTGGATGATCAAAATCTTGCTCCCGCTAGACCCAGTGTTTTCCTCAGTCCGTACAGGTCCGACATCTGGATTATTTCAGTTGCTTAGTTCAGAGATATAAATGGAGATATGTTAAGAGTTGTCTAAAATCTGGTATACTTACCTAAAATCTAGCCAATACCTCCTTTTCCAAGTGAATCACTTAGGCAGATAAATTTTAGGACCCCTGACCTTTCTCACATTCTCTGACAAAGTATTGACTTCTAAAGTTTTGAAGTCAGTAGCTAAATGTATTTCTGTGTTATAAATGTTCTCAAACATATTTATTGATTTAATTTTTATTGAAGCATGAGTAACATAAATGTTTCAGGTGTGCAGTGTATTGATTCAACAATTCTATATATTACCCCATGCTCACTATGGTAAATGTAATCACCATCTGTCACCCAACAACATTATTATGATATTATTATTATTTTTAAGATTTTATTTATTTATTTGACAGAGAGAGAGAGAACACAAGCAGGGGGAGCAGCAGAGGGAGAGGGAGAAGCAGGCTCCCCGCTGAGCAGGGATCTTGTCGTGGGGCTGGATCCCAGGAGCTTGGGATCATGACATGAGCCAAACGCAGCTGCTTAACCAACTGAGCCACCCAGGCGCCCCTATGATATTATTGACTATATTCCCTATGCTATACTTTTTGTCTCTGTGACTTATTTATTTTATAGCTGGAAGTCAAACATATTTTCATATGATTGTATGATGGACTGCTATAAGAGATATGTATATTTGTGTCTGGGCATGACACATTTATCTACCTTATTAGTAATTTCTGTAGGAAAGGACCAGATTCAAATTATTCAAATTATATATATTGACTAGAATATAAACTCCACAAACCAGGGGGTTTTGTCTGTTTTGTTCACTGATATGTCCCATGCCTAGAACAGTACCTAGGACATGTTAGATGTACATTAAATATTTTTAAAAAGATTGTTTTGTTGAACTCTTTGGGTTTAACTCAAGAATATTTAGAGTTTATATTATTTCAGGATTGCATTTATTTATATAAAATTTTTATTGTACAACCACCTGGAGATTATTTTAGATTTAAAAATTTGGAATTTACACTGTAACAATCAAGGTAAATCAATGATAAATTATTCCTGAATTTATTAGTGTTGGCAAAAGTCTGTTGATTGAAGTAATTTTGGGGTTGAGTACAAGGAAATAACATCTCAAAATCTTTTTTTTTAAATCTCAGGATCTTTCTGAATTGTTTTTTCTTATTTTTAATTTTAGCACTTAACAAATTTTTTAAATTCCCCTCATTTTTGTTATAGTTGAGCAATAATATTCTTTCTGTTTTTGCTGTTGTTATGTTTGTAGGAATCTATGATACAGAACTCTCAATTCTTTTGAAATCTAATATTAAAATCTAAAAGGTAATTTTGATGAGGGAGAATGGAATTTATTCACACATGTCCTGCAGATGCCAGTTTTAACATGGAAACCATGTCTTAAATTGAAATAGCTTAATATGACATCACTTCAGAGGCAAAGATTTCCAAATTAGATCATATGATACTAGCAGCTGTCTGTGTTTGGTATTAAAAGAGTTCAATATGTACTTAAAAATTTAACAGATTGAATCAGGATGGCCAACTGAGAGCAAGTTCTAGCCTCTAGCCTCTCCCAAATCCTCCCCTCCTTCCCAAATCTAGAAATTACAAAAAAAGTTACATGGGTACACAAACTCATATGCATCCATGCATGTACCTTAATATTGAAAAACACGAAGGGGTGCTCTCAGTGGACCAGGCATTATGAGAATCCAGACAAACAAAAGTTGCATAACAGAGGCTTAATGCAGAAATGCAGGTGGCTCTTGGGGACGGTCTAGGTACACAGAAAAAAAAAAGATTGGCATCAGTAGGGCCCTTGGACAACATGTGAGTTATTGATTGAGGTACCGCTATAAGAAGAGACAGTCTGCCTCTCAGCCTTACTCCCACTTGCTCATGCAGTGGGTAGCAAAAGAACTTGCTCTAAAGGGGGCGGGGACAGTCCATGTAGGTACTTTTGCTGAAAAGCTGTGATGGCTTTTGATATCTGGGAGGAAGAGAGAGACTTCATATCTTGAAGACTGATACTAGCTCACCTTGTGAAGCTGCACATGCCACATTCCTCCTTCAAAACCCTCAAGGCAGAATGAAAAAGAGAAAATCTACAAAAAATACAGGTTAAAAGACATTACCTTAAACAGAGAATAATAAGACTTGAACCTTTTTTTTCTTTAAAGATTTTATTTATTTATTTAAGAGAGTGCATGAGTAGGGGAAGGGGCAGAGGGAGAAGGAGAGGGAGAAGCAGACTCTCCGCTGAGCATGGAGCCCGATGCGGGGCTTGATCCCAGGACCCCAAGATCATGACCTGAGCTGAAGGCAGACACTTAACCAACTAAACGCCCCATTGAACTTGACTTTTTATTTTTATTTTATTTTATTTTTAAAGATTTCATTTATTTGACAGAGAGAGAGAGACAGTGAGAGAGGGAACACAAGCAGGGGTAGTGGGAGAGGGAGAAGCAGGCTTCCCGTTGAGCAGGGAGCCAGATGTGGGGCTAGAACCCAGGACTCCGGGATCATGACCTGAGCCAAAGGCAGACGCTTAACGACTGAGCCACCCAGGTGCCTCTGAACTTGACTTTTTAACAAATGAGGAAAGCCTAGGCGCCTGGGTGGCTCAGTCTGTTAAGTGTCTGCCTTGGGTTCAGGTCCTGATCCCAGGGTCCTAGGATCAAGCCCCGCATTGGGCTCCTTGCTCAGTGGAGAGCCTGCTTCTCCCTCTTCCTTTGCTGCTCCCCGCCTCCCCGCTCGTGCTCTTGTTCTCACTCTATCTCAAATAAATAAATACAATCTTAAAAAAAAAAATGAGGAAAACCATAAAAAGTTGAGTAAGGTCTTAGAAGAAGCTACACTATAATTCTGTACCTAGCAAAATATCCTTCAGAAATGAAGATAAGATAAAAATGTGTTTAGAAAACAAGCATTGAGAAAGAAGATCACCACCAACAAACCCACACAAAGAATTGCTAAAGGGAGTTATTCAGGCTAAAGGGAAAATGATCCCAGATGGAAGCACAGAAATGCAGGAATAAGAGCAATGAGAAAGATAAACACAAGGTCAATATATAAACTCAATTATATTATAAATATCACCTGAAGTTTTAGATGGTAAAATTTATAATAACAAAAAATTAAATACCTAGGAATAAATCTATGATCGTGCAAGATCTCTGCATATCAAACTGTATATGATTGCTGGGAGGAAATTAAATAAAACCTAAATAAATGGAGAGCTACACGAAATTAATGGCTAGGAAGACTTATGAAAACATGTCAGTTCTCCCAAATTGATGTATAGATTCATTGCAGTCCTAGTAAAAATCCCAGCATTTTTCGGTAAAAATGGACAAGCTGATTTCAAATGTCATATGTAATTGCAAAAGGCCAAGAATAGCCAAGAGAATCTTGAAGAAGAACAAAGTTGGAGGGCCTACTATATATTACCTCTTATTATTAAGATAAAATAATTACTAGAACAAAATGGTATGGCTTTGGCTGTAAGAGAGTCAGCTAGACCAGTGGAAAAGAATGGAGCCCAGAAACAGACCTACACATATGTGGTCACTTGATCTATGACAAAAATGATACTACAGTGCAGTGAGGGAAGGGTAATCTTGTCAGTAAGTTGTGCTGGATATCAATTGGATATTCATACAGACAACAGTGTATCTTGACTCCTAGCTATACATACCCAAACATTAATTTCATATGAACTGTAGACAGTAAAACAATAAAGCTGCTACAAGATAACATCGGAAAATATTCTTATGATCTTGGGGTAGGCAAATATTTCTTAAACTGGAAAGAGGAAGGGGCACCTGGGTGGCTCAGTTGGTTAAGCAGCCAACCCTTGATTTCGGCTCAGGTCATGATCTCAGGGTCCTGGGATGGAACCCTGCCTCAGGCTCCCTGCTCAGTGGGGAGTCCACTTGACATTCTCTCCCTCCCGCTGCCTCTCCCACTGCTTGTCTATGCTACCCCCCTCTCTCTCTCTCTCAAATAAATAAATAAATCTTTTTTTAAAAAGCTGGGCAGAAAAATAACTGATCATAAAGAAAAAGACTGATTAAATAGTATCTCATTAAAATTGAGAACTTTTTTTTAGGTAGGCGCCACACCCAGCATGAGCCCAACATGGGACTTGAACTCATGACCCTGAGATCAGGACCTGAACTGAGATCAAGAGTTGGGTGCTTCACTGACTAAGCCACCCAGGCACCCCAAGAACTTCTCTTAATAAAAAGACATCAAGAGAATAAAAAGGCAAGCTTCTAAAAATTTTTTCCTTTTAAAAAAATTAGCTATGAATATTGTATCATTTTCATCAACTGATACTTTAAAAAATTTTTAATTTTGGGATAAGTGTAGATTCACATGAAGTTGTAAGACATAATACAGAGAGATCCTGTGTACCTTCTAAGGGTAAAACCTGGTAAAATTGTGGTACACACAATCAGAACATTAGCATTGATACAATCCATCCATCTTCACATTTTCTCAGTTTTACTTTTAAGCATTCGTGTGTGCCTGTATTTAGTTCTATGCAATTTTATCATATGTGTGTTTCATGTGTCCACCACCACAGAGCAGTTCCATCACCTCAAAGGTCCCTCCTGTTGTCCTTTCATAACCATTTCCTCTTCCCTCCCACTTCTCTCCCCAGGATCCATTTTTTTAACCACTACTAATTTTTATTATAACCATGATTAAAATAACTATGTAATTCAAACAGTGGTTCACAGCATTTAATAAACAATGCACACATTATAGAGAGAAGAAATATGTTTTCACTTTGAAATCTTTAAGAAAAAACCTTGTTTGTATTAATCGTAAGCACTGTACTAATTAGTCATTGATTACCATTCCTAAATAGAAACTCATTTGTGATGCTTTTTCTTTAATATAAGAGGGGTATCTCCTTCTTTTCTTTTCTTCCCCCTCCCCCTTTTCTACCTCATTTCATCTTCTGGAGACTGTCTGTAGTCCCATCTTTTCTCCAGTCTGACTCTGTGTAAGTTTTACTCTAGGCAGAGCTTGAGCTGTCATTTTAGAACATGAGAAGACATGCTAAACAAAGGTAAGCAGCAAAATGGAAGAAACTTGGATTTCTGACAGCCATGGAAACTTCAAGGCTGCCTAGGACTTCCTACCTCTGAACTTCCTTTATAGGTAGGAGAAATAATTTTATAAAAGACACCAACTATTTTCACTGTACTGAAACTTGCCTTCCAATCCACTTTGATGTAGATAGACATTGCTGATTATGGCTACGTACTATTCCATTGCATGAAGATACTATAATTTATTTAACCAACCCCTTATTGATGGATAATTAGGTTCTTTCCAATTTTTTATTATAGATAAAGGCATAGTTAACATCCTTTTAGATATATTTTGCTGCCTGTGTAGGTATTTCTATAGTATAAATAGCTAGAAATAGATTTATTGCGTGACAGAATGTGCACATTTAACATTTTGAGAAATATCACCAAAAAGATGATACTAACTTACAGCCCCATCAATAGAGTGACTGTTTGTTTACACTCCCACCAATCCTGAATCCTTAAATAATTGTACCACTCAGATAGACAAAGCTTATCTTTCTTTTCTTTGATTACTGATAAGGAGGAACATCTTTTCATGTTTATTGTCCATTTGCATTTCCTATTGTGAATTGCATTTGCCTGTTTTTCTTTTTTTAATTGTGAAATTATAAATGACTACCATTTCATTGTACAAAACTTAAGTGATATACTTGTATAAGAGCAGAGAGAGAGACTTTTCTCCAGCGCTTCCAATTACATTCCACCGCCCACAGTTTTATGTACATCCATCTAGTCCCTTTCCATACATTTCCATATGAATATACATACACATATAAATACTATTTTTATATAAATAGGATCATTTTTATGTACTATTTCACAGCTTGCTTTTTTTAAAATTAGGATTCAGTACTATGAAAAACCCAATATTTAACTATTTTCTTATTTTTTCTCTTGCTATTACATTGTCAAGGTAAACATCTTTTTCATATATTTGTGGGCATGTGTGTGAATTTCTTTGGCTGGAGTTGTATAAGGCAGATTGTTGGGTCAAAGGATGTGCTTTCTGATAGACCCATCTTAGCTTTCCCAAAGGTCTGCATAAATTTCTACTTTCACCAAGTGTATGGAAAGTGCTCATTTCCCCACAAGCCTTACCTACATTTGATAATTTTTATTTGATGGGCAAGAAAGAAAAAAAAAGAATCATCTTGCATTTCCCTGATTAATGGTGAGGTTGAAGTTATTTTCATGTTTATTGGCCATCTATAGTTTTATCAGGATTGTTTGTTCATATCCATTACCTACAATAGCTTTTCTATTGGGTTATGTGTGGATATATGTTGTTTTTTGTTCAGTATCTCTTTCCCCATCCCCTGGTAACAGAATTCTTATTTATCATGGGGAACCCATTCCCTGTGGCTTAGATGATGAGCATGTCTTCTCATGTTCTAAAATGACAGCTCAAGCTTCAGCCATCTCACTCAGAATTTAAGCAGCAGGACGGAGAAGGGAGGAAAAAGAGGAATAGCATTCATTTCTCAAAAGATTTCCCCCAAAGTCCCATCTGTTCTTTAATGTATATCTCATTGGTCAGAACTGTATGCATATCCCCACCTAGCTGCAAAGGAGGCTGTGAAATGTCATCTTTTGGCTACCTTGTGCTCAGCAAAAGACAGGCTCTGTGTATTTGAGAGAGAAGGAGGAATGGATAGTGGTCAGCAATTAGCAGCCTCTGCCTAGAGTAAAACTTACACAGAGTCAGACTGGAGAAAAGATGGGACTACAGACAGTCTCCAGAAGATGAAATAAGGTAGAAAAGGAGGAGGGGGAAGAAAAGAAAAGAAGGAGATACCCCCCTCTTATATTAAAGAAGAAGATAGCCTCACAAATGAGTTTCTTTTTTTTTTAAAGATTTTCTTTTTAAAATTAATTCATTTGAGACACAGAGATAGAGAGAGAGAGAGCATGAGCAGGGGCAGAGGCAGAGGGAGAAGCAGGCTCCCCGCTTAGCCAGGAGCCCGATGCGGGGCTCGATCCCAGGACCCCGGGATCATGACCTAAGCCAAAGGCAGACGCTTAGCCATCTGAGCCACTCAGGCACTCCTACAAATGAGTTTCTATTGAGGAATGGTAATCAATGTCTAATTAGTACAATGCTTATGACTCAGGCCTTCCTGAGTCCTGCAGCTCCTTAGCCACAGTGGTGAAAGAATGGGCATGTAATTCAAGGCAGGCTAAAAAGAGCTTTCAACAGAACTTCTACAGGGACTATTGGTAAAAAGTTTCTGCAGAGATCCCACAGACTAAGGACTATGTAAGTCTGAATTTGTACCATGTGCGGAGTCTGAGGAGAAACTCAGAGGCTAGCAGAAAGCAATGAGAACTAAGTTCTGTTATCATTTTTCTGGAGGCCCTAGATCCAGCTGTGCCTAAAGCCTGCCCTGCTTCTGAACTTTAAAGTTTTGAGAGCCAATAAAGTCCCTTTCTTGTTTAAGATAATTGAATTGGGTTCCTGTCCTGATTAATATTATTATTTGTATTACTGATTTCTAGAAAAGTTTGTGATTTTAAATTCTAGACTTATACTTTATGTATTATATAGATTAATAAAATTAGCATGGCCTTCCAAAAAAAAAAAGACACCAGCTATTTAAATCGTAACATATTTTAGTGGCTTACTTTTACTTACATACTAATTAGAACTCTTAAAGACCAATTCACATGATTACTTTAAATATAGTTAGAACAGGGGCATCTGGGTGGCTCAGTTGGTTAAGTGGCCGACTCTTGATTTTGGCTCTGGTCAAGATCTCAGGGTCCTGGGATTGAGCCCTGTGCACGGATCTGCACTCAGCAGGGAATCTGCTTCAGAATTCTCTCTTACCCTCTGCCCCTCCCCACCGTACTCTTTCTCTTTCTAAAATAAATAAGTAAATCTTAAAAAACAAAAAAGGCATATAGTGTCACTTTCACTGTATTCTGTTGGTTAAAGCAGTTATAAGCCCATCCAGAGAGTATATGGACCCCCTATCTCTCTATGGGAGATATGTCAAAAAATTTGAGGCCAACTTTTACAACTGGCACAAAAAGTATATAAAATTTGAATATTTTGTTATGCAAAGTATATCAATTTAAGTGAATGTAAAAATCTTTGAAATTCAGTGTCTTCAAGAAATTGTTTTTCTTCATTAGAAGAAATTTATCATGGGGAATATTAAAAATATTAAAAATTACCTGCCAAATTTAAAGGCAAGGCAAAGCATAAATAATAATGAATATCAAAATTTAAATTTATTTAAATGTAGTTGAAAATTTTAACTCAGTTTTTAAAAGCTTAATTAGGTCTTGTTAAATATTTTTATAAACCTGAAACTGTTTATAATTGTAGTTGTCAATGAGAAGAATAGGTGCTGTGTCTCATATATGTTATATCTAGACTTACATGTGTACAAATTTAGGATATAACTGTTTAATATCACAAATTGTTCCTCAGCTGCCACGTGCAACTGTTGTAAAAAACTGTGCTAAATTTTGAATAGTGGATATAAGGAGTTCAAGAAAATGAACACTTTGCTCTATTGGCAAATATTTCATTATTCAAAAACTTTAGTGCAGTTTTTTAATTTGAGAGGAAAGATATGATGATTTAATTTTTTTTCCTAATTATTTCTCTAGCTCAAATTCTCCCCACACTCTGAAACAATGCCCATCTCTGATATCAGCAGTGCCTCAGTCTTCAATTCTTCATTTGGATACAGTCATCTTTTCTTCATGGACACAAGGCAAGAGCTATACAGAGCTTTTTTTCTGGGGCCTGAACTGTGTGAATCACAGCAGCAAATGTGTAACATTGTGAGTTGCCCAGTGCCATCACTGAGCACTGGTCTCCTGAGTGACAGAAGTGTCCATGTGATTTTCACTAAATTCATCATTTTGGGTTTCTGGTTTATGGGTCCCTGTAAGATGTAGGAATAGGGCAGGGGCCTCTTACCTGGTTTGGAAGGTGGTTCCACTTCTCTGGGAACATAACCTTTTAAATTTTGTCTGTCTGGTCACTCTCACTGCTAGCTCTAGTTCAGAGTTTATAATCCAGGAAGCTTCCAAGAGACGTGAAATTTGTTCAACAGTGTTTCCACAGTAAATTATGGCCCAGTTCAGGTTCAAAAGTTGATGGGCTGCCAATTTGTCCCCTGTAGTGCTTAGTCCAACAAATCCAGTCAAATGGTGGGATTTGTTTGGGCAAAACATGGAGCTCCAACATCTGGAGATGTGATCGCACTTGTACTCACAGTGTTTCCTGACCTTTAGATTTGAGTAATAGTTTTGGTACATTGAATTTTCTTATTTATTTAAGGGGGGGGAAGGGACTTGTTTAACCAAGAGAAACCCTTGTATCAATGGGTCTGGACAAACTCCAAAAGATGAGGCCTCCACTTACATTTACCTTCTAGAAATTTCCTCTCCATATCTGAGAATTGTAGTCAGAATTCATTCTAGAGATGATTCAAGATCTCTACCTCCTATTTGCAAGTTGTTTAGAAATTTCCTCTGGTTAACTGTATGCAATTTGTACTTCATATTTATTTTAATTAATACCCATTTCTTTGTGGAAAGATTCTCTCACTAGTCAATCAGCCATAAGGAGGACTCAAAATGTGTTGTGGGGAGAATGCAATCTCTCTACCCCCTCTTTCACCATTTATTGGTCAAATTGATATTTATATTCAATGTCAATATTTATTTGTTTTTTAGAAGGGGAGAGGGGAGAGGGAGAGGGAGAGAGAGAGAATCTTAAGCAGGCTCCATGCTGCGCATGGAGCCTGATGCAGGGTTTGATCTCACAACCCTGAGATCATGACCTGAGCTGAAATCAAGAGTCAGACACTTAACCGACTGAGTCACCCAGGCATCTCTCAATATCAATATTTATAATTCATTTAAATGCAGGCATTTCCTTCTATTTTAAACCTAGAATCTGTTGTTACTTTTCTCATGGCTATTTACAACTAATTGTGGAATAAAATAACTTGTCCCCACTCATAGTTAAGGAAATCTAAGATATTAGCAGGCACATGGTAAACATATTTTTATTTTGATTGTGTCTCTCTTAGCAGTGATGAGAGCAAAACTCTCCAAGGCTTGATATATATGGGAAGCCATAAGATGTTAGATTTCTTTCTAAGTCAGTATGAGTGTACATAAACTTTGTTTAAATCAAAAGCCTGACTTATGGCCTGCCAAGCATACATTGTACACCTGCTTTGTAAATGAATAGCCTAAAGGAAAACTGTCTTGTGCTTAAGATATTGATCAACACTCCTACCCTCTGCATTCCATGTTAAAATTCATGATTCCTGCCTTTATGTTAATCTATAATCTTTTAAGTTTTTACAAGTTGCTCATACAGGAATTCAGTAATGTGGCAAGATATAAAATCAATGCACAGAAATCAGTTGCATTTCTATACACCAACAATGAGAGAGAAGAAAGAAAAATTAAGGAGTCGGTCCCATTTACAATTGCACCCAAAACCATAAGATACCTAGGAATAAATCTAACCAAAGAGGCAAAGGATCTGTACTCAGAAAACTACAGAATACTGATGAAAGAAATTGAGGAAGACACAAAGAAAAGGAAAAATGTTCCATGCTCATGGATCCCAAGAACAAATATTGTTAAAATGTCTATGCTACCTAGAGCAATCTACACATTCAAAGCAATCCCTATCAAAATACTATCAACTTTTTTCACAGAAATGGAACAAATAATCCTAAAATTTGTATGGAACTAGAAAAGACCCCAAATAGCCAAAGGAATGTTGAAAAAGAAAAGCAAAGCTGGTGGCATCACAATTTGGGACTTCAAGCTCTATTACAAAGCTGTGGTCATCAAGACAATATGGTACTGGCACAAAAACAGACACATAGATCAATGGAACAGAATAGAGAACCCAGAAATGGACCCTCAACTATTTGGTCAACTAATCTTCGTCAAAGCAGGAAAGAATATCTAATGGAAAAAGGACAGTTTCTTCAACAAATGGTGTTGGGGAAATTGGACAGCCACATGCAGAAGAATGAAACTGGACCATTTCCTTACACCATACACAAAAATAGACTCAAAATGTATGAAAGACCTAAATGTGAGACAGGAATCCATCAAGATCCTTGAGGAGAACACAGGCAGCAACTTCTTCGACCTCGGCTGCAACAACTGCTTGCTACACATGTCTCCAAAGACAAGGGAAACAAAAGCAAAAATGAACTATTGGGACTTCATCAGGATAAAAAGCTTTTGCACAGCAAAGGAAACAGTCGACAAAACCAAAAGACACTAGAGAGAATGGGAGAAGGTATATGCAAATGACATATCAGACGAAGGGCTGGTATCCAAAATCTATAAAGAACTTATCAAACTCAACACCCAAAGAACAAATAATCCAATCAAGAAATGGGCAGAAGACACGAACAGACATTTTTCCAAAGAAGACATCCAAATGGCCAACAGACACATGAAAAAGTGCTCAACATCACTCGGCATCAGGGAAATCCAAATCAAAACCTCAATGAGATACCACCTCACACCAGAATGGCTAAAATTAACAAGTCAGGAAACGACAGATGTGAGGATGCAGAGAAAGGGGAACCCTCCTACACTGTTGGTGGGAATGTGAGTTGGTGCATTCACTCTGGAAAACAGTATGGAGGTTCCGCAAAAAGTTGAAAATAGAGCTACGACCCAGTAATTGCACTACTGGGTATTTCCCCGAAAGATACAAATGTCGTGATTCAAATGGGCATATGCACCCCAATGTTTATAGCAGCCATGTTCACAATAGCCAAACTGTGGAAAGAGCCCAGATGTCCACTGACAGATGAATGGATAAAGAAGATGTGGTATATGTATATATCTATATCTATATCTATATCTATATCTATATCTATAGATATATAAACATACACACAATGGAATATTATGCAGCCATCAAAAAATTGAAATCTTGCCATTTGCAATGATGTGGACAGAACTAGAGGGTATTATTATTCTAAGTGAAATAAGTCAACAGAGAAAGACAATTATCATATGACCTCACTGATATGTGGGATTTAAGAAAGAAGGCAGAGGATCATAGAGGAAGAGAGGAAAAAATAAAACAAGATGAAACCAGAGAGGGTGACAAACCATAAGAAACTCTTAATCTTAGGAAACAAACTGAGGGTTGCTGGAGGGGAGGGGGTGGGGGCATGGAGTGGCTGGGTGATGGACATTGGGGAGGGTATGTGTTGTGGTGACGGCTGGGTGTTGGTAAGACTGATGAATCACAGACCTGTACCCCTGAAACAAATAATACATTATATGTTAATTAAAAAAAAAGAAATAAAACCAATTGGAAATTAAAAAAAAAAAGTTGTAAAAAAGGACCTAAGCCTGCAAAAACTATTCATTCTCTGGAGCACTTTCTTCCCTATGAAGAGTGTGTTCCCTCGAATAAAACTCAAATAAAACTCTCTTTTTTTCTTTTAGAGATTCTAAAAGGTTTGTTCATTTTGTATTGACAGCAGCACCCTAAAAATAACACCAAAAAACCATTATCTATATGATTACTCTTAGCAGTCTGATACCAAAACCCAAACAAATTTAAAATTTCCATATTGGGGTGACAGTTATATAAATATCAGAGAATTCACAAAAACATTATGTGTAAATTAAATTATTTCAGTATCCATTCCACAACCCCTCCCCCATTTTTTTTAAATCCTAATGTAAGTTTATTATTGTTTAGGTATTACAAACCAGAGCAATGATTTAGCAGGTTTAGGAATATAAAAATAGTAACTTACTAAGGCTATCTATCACTGAATATATTTAATTTTATTTGAATTCTCAGTTCTTCTCCAGTATTTCTCTCCCCCCCCTTCTCTCTCTTTCTAAACACATATTGGATATTCTAGCATTTAAATGGAGTTCCTACCAATTGTATTTCAGAGAAACACAAATATGAACAATGAAAATTACCTACATGGAAAATTGCTTGTCAAGTCCTAGAGAGTTTTAAAAATTTGTTTCCTTTAGCCTTACTGGGCAGAGGGTCTATGCAAAAACTTTCTTTGAGTAGTCAGTCCTGAGCTGTTAGGCTTCTTACCAGAGTTCAGGAGGGTAATATCTGTTTCCTCAAGATGGTGTGATAATGGGGTATTAGAAAGTTCCTGGTGTGAAGTAAAGAGATAACAGCCAGAAAGTTAATTAAAAAGAGTAGATTTGCTTTAAGAAAAAGGGCAAAGCCTTTTCCTTCCCTACACTTTAAAAGCTTCTGGCTCCCACCTACACAAAGACTTGAAACAATAGAGTCAACAGTAAGAATAACCTTTATGTTAACTCTTATGAAATATCTTCTTTTGTTTCCTTAATCAAACATTTGTCTCCATCTTCCTCTACCTTCTCCCTTGGGTAAGAACTGACCAATGCATTTTCTCAGTGGTGGTACATTTAAAAACAAATCATCTCCTCTCTCCCATAGTTCCTTTTGTTAAAAACTTTAGGCTGGCCAAGTGAGGGACTACACTGCTATACTGTTTGGGATCTTAAGGCAGTAACAGTGTAACAGTAACAATATAGCCCTTAAAGAAATATTGTCTTTTGTTAGGATTAGGGATATCCTAATTCCTGATTTGTAACAAGGCAGAAACTCTGAAATCCCCATTTAGGAACAATAACTATAATTTTATTAATTCCTTGAATTTGGTGATTTCACATAGAAGATGTTCTGCCTAGCATTCCTCAC